CTTTAATGGCACTTATCCATTTTCTTTGTTGGCTGAAAAGTTCAGTAACTGCGGTTAGTGATTAATTGTTCTTTACAAAGATTTTACGTGAAGATCTTAATACTTGTTTTTTTCAAAGCTTGTTCTAGCTCTTTCTTTATTTTGCAATTAGGTGTAAAGTTGTTTATGGTTTTTACCCGTTCTCAAACTTGTTGGAAATCATTCCGAAGCTTTAGTGCATTTTTATTTCGACACTGAAGCAAGATTTGTTTCAATTTTGATGTCTCACACTGCAGAAACTGCTACAAAATTTGGTTTTTATTATCTTCATTTTCAGTATACTCGAGTGTTATAGAATTTATCTTGTCGCTGTTCGTTATGTGCTTTAGTTCCAGCAAGTTTTAGTTGCTGACTGTGTTACTTGGCATTGTTGTTGCTTTGTTGCAATAAATATCTCTTGGATCTGTGCCTTACACCGTTGCTTACAAGTTTGCGTGAAGAGAGGTATTTGTTTGTAGCGTATTGGAGTTTCATGGCATTTAGACGGCATTAAGCTTAAATAGTCCTGATTTTTTTAGCACTCGTCTTGGTAGTTCCGGTAGGGTCTTTAATATTCTGCCGGGCTCTTGTTGAGCGCTTCAGCAATCTCCCTAGAACTGGGCGGAGTTTTTTTTTCGCTAGTGGTACTTGTGGATTTTTGTGGTTCAAGCTTTCGCGTTGGCTCAGGAGTTGCTAGTGGTTTAGTGCGACGCATCTGTTTAATCACACACTGTGTTATAGCAGAAAGCACCAGATGGTAGGGTTGGTCATTTTATTGTGACGTGGTGATTGAGTAGTGATGTTTTGTCGCTTCGGCGGGCGAGGGAATCTGCTTTAGTGTTTTTCTGCTTGGTACAATGAAAGTCAACAGGTGGGTAGTTTAGTCACCACTTACAGATGAGTGCTTTGTCTGGGAGGTCACTTCAACAGTCGCTTTGGAAACTCTCGAGAAGGTTTCTTACTTCAAGGCAGCTGGTTTACTCCGAGCGTGGTAATCCGTCGAAGGTATTTCATTGCTATCGTCAAATTTTCTTCAGACTGTTGGCTATTTTCTTTCAATGTTTTTTTTTTATCCTTTCGTTGTTTATTTGCGGCGTGTGTGGATTTCTTTCATATTCGCTGCATCATCTTGATTCTTGAGCGGAAATATAACATTTTGTTTCGTTTTTGGGAAAGTTATCAGTTTAATAGTTACTAGTTTAATAGCATTCTACCTTCAAGCTATGAGTTTTTGATCATTTATTAACTTTTTCAATCAGTCTAGGTAGTAAAATTAACAAATGTCGACTTAAGTGAGACTTTGGGGCCAAAGCAGGTTCTTATTCGGTGGTTGGCTGCTCCTGTAAATCCAGCGGATATTAATCAAATTCAAGGAGTTTACCCTGTAAAGCCTCCACTTCCTGCAGTTGGTGGAAGTGAAGGAGTTGGCGAAGTGGAGAAGGTTAATTTTATAATTTTATAAAAAGAATCCAGAGTATATTACTACTTATATATCAAATAGGTCGGAACTGATGTGAGTGGCTTTACTCAAGGGGACCGTGTGGTTATTGTTCGATCAGGAGCGGGAACTTGGCAGACTTTAGGCATATATGATGCTGAAGATTTAGTAAAAATTGACAAAAATATGTCGCTTGAATCCGCAGCTACTTTCCAAGTAATTTTTCTTTTTCCGTTGGATTTACTTTTTAGATCGTTAAGCCTTTGCTCAGCCTGATAATCATTTTTGGAAAGCAAGAAAGTTTTTAAATTCCTTTATTATTTGTAGTCTTTTTTTAAAGACAAGTTTGGTATTATATCGTTTTCTTATTTTTCGCATTTTCTTTCGAACAGTGATTAAGGTGAATCCGCCTACAGCATATCGTATGTTGTCCGACTTTGTTACTCTGCGTCAAGGAGACTTGGTGATACAGAATGGTGCAAACTGCACAGTGGGCAGAGCAGTGATTCAAGTAAGTTCCATTTTTCTAACTCACGGTTCCGTTGACAAATTTTTTTCTAAATGTTGAAAATTAAGGATTTTTTACATATTTATTCAGATAGCTCATGCGCGCGGAGTACGCACCGTCAATTTGATAAGGAAGTCGGATCATTCCGAAAAAGTTATTGAAGAGCTGAAAAAATTGGGAGCTGATGAGGTTCATACCGAGGACGAGATGCTAAAAGAATATAAAGGAAAGGTGTGTATGCTTGATTGATGCTGGACTCGATCTTTATAAATTTGCTTATTTTATTTTGTAATAGAGTGCTAAAAATCTTAAAAACTTATCCAACGCTTATTTTTCCCGCAAAGCAGTTATTGTGAAAAATTATAACTTGAGTTAACAATACCTTTTCATAGTAAAGGAACTTTTATAACATTATAAATGACCGTAATAGGCATTTTAAGAAACTGTTTTAAATCATTTGAATGGTTGGCGGTTGGGGTCGTTGGATCTTTCCTTGTTGCTTAATTTCTTAATGTGGCAAAGTACAAAATTTTCCGACTTTTTACACATACTTGAAGCGTTGGCGTTCCGAATAGCTCTTTTATTTTCATCTCGAAAAGAAATGGAATTTTGCTGTAGGTTTCAAGAGGTAAATCTTGTAAGTTTTAAGATAGCGGATTTGTTCAGTTAGAGTGCGAATACCACTGGGCTGCCTGAGAATGATCAGATTTAATTTCACCTCAACAATAATTATTGTACAGGAGCGGCGCTGTTTTCACCGCCGATTACAATTCAAAAGTCATGTGTTACCTTTTGAGAAAGCTACATTTATTCCTAGCAACTGTAGTTATTTTGCTTTAACTACAAGCTTCTTTTTTTATATTACATTTTCAGTTTTACAGGTAAAAAATGCCAAGCTAGCTTTTAATTGTGTTGGAGGACGCAGCACCTTAATATTAGCCAGCTGTCTTGGTCAAGACGGAGTTTTAGTAACATATGGAGGCATGAGCAAACAACCCTTACAAGTAAGCTGTGTATATTCATTTTTACGCCCTTATGATTTGCCAGTAAACAATGGTTTAACTAACCAGTTAATTCACCTGCTTATCGAATAAATCAAGAAATCTTTGTGTCCATTTATCTTTCTGCGCCCCTACTATAACAATATCTTCTTCTGCATTACAGATACCAACCGGCCCTCTAATTTTTAAGAACATTCATCTAAGGGGATTCTGGATGACGGAATGGTATAAGCAACCAGAAAATAAAAAGGTTTGCCTTTTATCTTCTTTTGTTGCGGAAGTAAGCTAGCATACAGATATATATACAGAACTAGTCCGGAATAAAGTTTTAAAAAATTTTTGAAACTAAAACTTACGTTGCCTCAAGTCCATTTAAGTTTTCACGATTGTCGTTTGATCTTCTTTTTTTTTCACGAAGTAATTTTGACGCTATAAAATCAAACATTCATATAGATTAATTTCATTGAATACTACACATTTGATCTAATTACTGAATATTTCCAACAACTCTTCTCTGATGTTAGTGGTTGGCATACATTTTTTACATTTCCCTAAAAAAAGGAGGTTGCGTTGCTTGAGGTCTAGTGGCTACGAAAGTTGCTGCAGGATTTGTTAACTCACGGTCTTTTCAAGAGGTTATGCGAGCCTTATCCTTTGTGACAGCGACATTATCGCGACAGATAATAACCTCTTTCATCTTACTTTCATAATTTTCTAAAGCCTCTAGAAACTGCATCAAAAAATGTATTGATGCACCTCTATTTTGCAACTGCGGTCCTACGGTTGAAACTTTTGTTAGAAGGATCTAAGATATAAGGGAACTGCATCCGGCACCCCACTGCGTTTCTTTCGTTCTTTTCATTTTCGCAATCAGAGTTTCAAATTTTACAGTTTGACAGTTTTAAGTGTAATTCCATTTTGTTTTTCAGTAAAGGTATTTTCGGGAATTTTTAACTTAGAATCTTTAAATTGCCGCAGTTTACAGCCATCTAATGGAATGTTTATCACATTTGTTGCGCAATGTCATTTAAAATTTGAAAAAACAGGTCGCTACTAAAGGTTACGTCCGTCTTGTCCCTTGAGTTGCTTCTGGTCATTCTTTGAGAGCGCGTCTTATATTCACTGCTACTTTATCTTTATAAAAGTGGTTTAAGAAGATCAGGCTCAGAACTGAGTCGTCAGTGGCAGAGTTTCAAAAGCCAGCTGTGTGTCCCCATAACTTACTGGAATTTGCAACTGTTAAAGCACGCCTTGAACTGTGATAATGCATCGGCAGAAAATCCAATCAAGCTATTAATATTTCAAAAGTCCATCTTAGCGGAAGTGAATTTGGTAATTTGAGCTCTGATTTTTCTTTTTTGGAGAAGTAGGCAGTTTTCTTTTAAGGAAAATACCGTTTCACATCTATCTGATTTTCTCATAACTCAACGATATATTCTACTTCCTAATCCACTGTTTTAAATCACGATTTCTTGAGAAGGCGGTTGTGGAGAAGCTAATACGTCTGAAATCAAACCAGTACTAATAATTTAATTGTGAATCAACTTTCCTTTTAACTCGTGTGTATATCACAACCCTCTTTGCATTAATTACCATATTCTCTTGTTGTTTCAGAAAAGAGCTGAGATGTTTGAAAAGCTCTCAGAACTTGTTCGGCAAGGGAAGCTGCAACCACCAAATGTCGACAAACGAAGTTTAGATGACTGGCAAGTGGCCTTGGAAAAGGGCGAAAGTGGTACTGGCAACAAACAACTGTTCATTATGTGACTTGATTTTGTTTTTTATTATTTTATTTCACCTGAAGAGTTGTTATTACCAAGAACTGAATGCTGGTGTCCGAAATCCTACTTTTTTTATAATTCGTAATATCAAACTACGATATGGTTTACACCAAACTTGTCCATATTTTACGTAGGTTTTTAACTGAGAGGCTAGAACCTACTTCCCAAATGAATGTTCAGGAAAACAGATTGCCATCTATTAGGGTAAATTCACCTGATAGGATTGTAGCTCTAATTGTGGGTCCGCTGTATGTCTGGTTTGCAGGAAGACAGCGTGATCCAAACATGGACTCTGCGATCTTAATTTTCTAAGAGTTCTGCTCTTGACACTCGTTTTGCTCTGCTTCAAACAAATTTTTCGCTCATTGCATGTCATATGTCGTTCCTCTTGACTTGTTTGCAAGCTGAAGCAGTTTTCATAGAAAAAACGCCCTAGGAAATTTAAGTTTTAGGTTCCTGTAACCTTTGCTGTATTGTGAATATGCAATGAACAGCTGCTTGAAGTGCCAAGCTGCTCTTACTTTAGTGATATAAAGAGCAATTAGATATTTGCTTTGATTAGACACAAAACCTACTGTGGGCCTAAAAGTAATTTAGTAGGTATCTAGAGGTGATAGAGCTTTGAAAAATAAGTGAATGTAAATTCTTAATTCTTGAGTTCACCTGAATATTTTAAAATCTGTTCAACAGAGAAATGGACTGTAACCACTGTTTGGAGATAAAAGAGCGAAAGGTTAGAAGTGAAGACTGAATCGATTGTTAGTTCATAACAGTTGACAGTGTTGAGCAGTACTTGCTCTCAAATTCTACTTGGACGACTTGAAAGACCTAGTTTTTGCTTCGTATGAATACTGAGTCAGCTAGTATGAAAATGAGCAGTTTGTCCAGATTCTGCTTTGGAGGAATTATTTAAACGAGCACATCAAACGTCGTTAACAGTAATGAAAAAAACTTTCTAATACTCCGAAACTTCATTTGCTGATCACCTGTTACCACAGAGAATGATCAGCTATTTCAATCCCATCCAAGGGAACACAGTAAAATACCTGCCAGCTTCTTAAACGGTAAGGAATTACCACCGCCTTCTGTAATAAGTTTATTTTTAAAAATTAATCCTACATTACTCTGGATTCAAATTCAAACAGCTACTCACAGTTTGCTTGCAGTCACGCTGCGATCGCAGATTGTTGATACTTGCAGTCGAAGTTTGTTACATGCAAACATAGATCGGTTCCTCACTCACCAGTTCAACAAAAGTTATAGTCAATGGGCTTTCTGGCCAACAGCCTATCAATTTATATGGTTAACGCGTTCAAGGCGAAATGATTTCGCTGTGGATCTTCTCTCTTCGTAACTGACTTGTTCGGGCAATAAAAATGCTGTAAGAGTTGACCTTAGGTGGCCTTTATCACTCAATCACCGGCAGAAAATCTGAGTTATTTGGTTTCAAAGTAACGACAGAACTAACGTCCGTTCCGTACAGTCTGCTCCACTGCAGCTATCTTAGTTACCCCTTAGTTACATGTTGAAACTTTTCTGCTGAGACAATGAAAAGATAAAGAGCTAATGGAAAATCTAATGTCTGTTGTAGTTAAAACCATAATTGAACGCTAAGAATTTCGTCCTCTTAAAACGTAGGTATAGACCATGTTTGGCCGGTATGCGACTTCGGTTCTTTCGACTGCAACTAATGATGGCAAAATTATGAAATTGGCCTTTGAAAAGCACTTTAAAAGCGAAAGCTAAAGTGTCGGCCGTATAAACAGCTGAATTTGGTGTAACTCTTCCTAACGGTCAAGTTACAGGACTATATCCCAAAAAGATTAATATTCAGTAAATTCATTTAGGAATTCCTAAAAATGCGATAACAGCTTAGTGCAAAAGAAAAGACGAGAATAATATTTAACAAATTTCCAAATGGTCAAAAATTAAAAATTCTGGGGGAAAAGCTAAACTACGACGGCGGCAAAATTCCATAAAAAGTAAAAAAACTAAAAAAACAGTTTTATATATTTTCTGTCAAAACTGGCTGCTAATTTGGAGAAAAATAATAACGTGAAAAAAAAATTTTTTTTTCTTGCACAGTCGTTGGACTTCTTGAGAGGGCCATAGGAACCAAAGAATGGAACTGCTGCATTGACACTGTACTACCATTTGTAATGAGTAGTTCAGAGTTCATGTGGTAGAGTTATTTATTTGGATGGTTTGTTCTTTTGTATGTATGTATCTGCTGTGTTATCTTACTTCTGGTCAAAGAACTCGACTTGTTTAGTTCTCGTGAACATCACATGAACAGCAATCAGTCTGGCCAAAAAAAAAAAAAACATACGGTACGATCATAGTGCAAACAAAAACAGCATACAGTGAAATATGGATTAACAATGCTGCAAAACATTACAAATGCTTTCATCATCGACAATGTTGCTAGCGTTAATAAAAAATAACCCGTAAACAGATACTGATCAACAAGTACACCTGATGAGAACGGAAGAAAAAAGTCTCTTAAACAGTACAACTGTTGAGTGCAACTCAGTAACATTTGTTCTTATTTTATTGATGATAATACCTCTGTCCATTTTTGTTTTGTGCAAAACTAAGAACCCAAAAAAAAAAAA